TTAAGTTTGTATGCACTAAGTTGTAAGTGAGTTTTCTTTTGGATCTTGTTTTTCTTAACATATTTGTCTAAGTTGTTGTTTGTTCTAAAAGCTTATGCTCTTTCTTTCTTTCTTTCTAAAAGCTTTCTTTTTTATGTGTTTGGATATAATGGACAATTCATCGTTCCATCATATACAACATAAATCGGTAGCCTACCATAACATGTTACATAGATTAACAGAAATTACTATGTCTTAAAACAACTTCGAGATAGAATTGAATTTTTTTAAGCAACCAGCAGTGAACAACGGGTACAACAAACAAACAATAAATAAAAATTTAAATGAAAAACTACATAAGAAAGCCAGGAAATTAGTATTTTCACCATTAGAGAAATACCCAGTACTTTCTGCTCAATTCTTCTCGGTTACATATACAGGCAAAATATCGACAAGAATAGGCAAACGCATCAAAACGAAAGGAATAATACTAGCTTTTAAATAACATCGAATCAATGACAAACATTTTGCAGTGTTTTCTAAACCAATTAGAACAATGGTCTTTAACGAACGGATTCAAATTTTCAGTAACAAAAACGTCAGGAGTACTCTTCTCTAAGAAGGTTTCATCAATGCTCCCTACATTAAAATTATACAACACTATGTTCCCATTTAAACCAACGGCAAAGTGCTTAGGTATGTGGTTTGATCAACAACTTACTTACTTGGCAAGAACATATAAAACAAACAATTTTAACATGTCATAAAAGACTGAATCTAATAAAAACATTGGCAAACCGAAATTGGGGATCAGATCAGGAAACTCTGTTGAGAATATATAAAATACTATTTAGATCTAAATTAGATTATGGATCAATTGCCTATGCATCTGCTTCAAAAACACTACTTAAAAAACTTGACAGCATACACAACGTTGGTATTAGAATTGCACTTGAAGCCTTCCGAACAAATCCCTCCGAAAGCATACTGAGCGAAGCCGGCGAACTACCTTTAAACTACCGAAGAATATACGCTCTAGTCCATGCTACATCTATAGCCTCAAATATAAAAAACCCCTCTACCGTAATACTTTTAATAACAAATATATTAATTATTACAATAATAAGCCCCGTGCCGCCAAACCTTATTACGGTATAATCCGATTATATAGCTTCAGACTGAACATTCAATTCCCAACAGTATTTCAAACGAATACATACCAATAACTATCTACCTTGGACTATCGGATAGTCCAAAGTCATAACAGCGTTAAGCATATATAATAAACATGAAACTAGTCCTATTATTTTTAAAGTTAAACTAAATTCAATCCTAGATCAACAATACAATGAGTGGATTAAAATATATACAGATGCGTCCAAAGGTGAATTTGGCGTTGGAGTAGCAGTGGTAATCCCAAATGACACTTTTCAATTTAAACTTCCTCTAAATTCCAGCATCTATACTGCAGAACTATTTGGTTTGCTCAAAGCCATCAAGCAAGTAAATATTAAAAACATCCCTTGTTGTCTAGTCCTTTCTGACTCTCTCAGCGCAGTCAAAGCTATGCAAAATGTATACACTAAACACCCCATTGAGAAAATTATCGGGGCCGAATTAATAAAAGCTCAAGAAAATTTTAGAATAGTCCACTTCCTGTGGATACCATCTCATATAGGCATAGAAGGAAATGAAGAAGCAGATACTAGTGCGCGTAACGCTATCACCAGTGTCCATCAAAAGCAGAGTGTCGGAATGTCTCAGGCGATCTAAAAGTTTATTTCAAAAATAAGGTGTTAAGTGCGTGTAATCGGGAGTGGAACGACTCTAGTTCGAAACTCAGAACCATCAAAAGTGACATTTTTTCATGGAAGTCCACAGCCAGAAGTAGAAGATGCCAAACTATTATTACACGTCTGCGACTTGGACACTGTAGGTATACTCATGCCTATCTCTTCACAAATAGTGAACCTCCAAAATGCGAAACATGCAATACAGTAGACAGTATAAAGCACTTCTTGATAGACTGTCCTAAATATGTAAATCAAAGACAGTCTTCACAATTTGCCAAATAACCTAAAAGCACTCCTCAACAAAAGTTTAGTTCCGAACAATTTATTAGGTACCTTAAAATGTATAAATATGTTACACAAAATTTAACTTAATTAATTGTTACAAATGTCCAATTGTTCACAAATTGTAATTAACTGTTACAATGATTGACTGTTACAAATGTTAAATTTAATATTATTACAAATGTTACAGGAATGTCGCTAATAACCTTTGGGTGGATGCGACTTTGTCTCTTTAAATAAAAAAAGTCCCAGCTTTTAGAACATTGCATAGCTTTGTGCCCTCCAAAATTAATTGGCAGGACCCTGGTCTACCTGGCCTTTCGGCATACGACCGTTAGCGCTCCCACTGGCCCTACGAGTCCGACACCAATTGGAGGTGGCACGATGCCGAAACATCGTGGGGCTCCACCTACCCCGTAGTACCTCTGTTGCGGGTCACGCCACCCTTCCGTGAGTCCTTCCCCCGGAGGCGGAAAGGCACGCAGGTGGTGGAATACCACCTCGCACGTAGACAGGTCGCCGCCGAGGAATCGCTCCTCTACCACTCGTTGATCATTCCGAGGTGTGGTACGTGTCGAGTCTCCCGCTCTCCCTTCCGCGGTGTCAGCTTCCGGAGGTGCATACGTACCTGGCTCGTTCAACCACACCCGGCTCTTGTGGAAAATGAGAGTAGAGTGGTCCCACGAGGTGCTCGTCTTGGATACTAGGAATGTAGACCGGTGACCGAGATGACTAAGCATCTCTGTGCGTTTCTACCAACCCGACACCTCAAACGACGGCCCTCCACCTCTCATATCCGCCCATTAGTCGCTTCTTACGACAGGCAGAGTCTTCTGGCCCCGGCCGTATTCTTATCTCCTCGAGCCGGAAGGAGAGCTTTTATAACAAATTACAACTTAGGCAAATATAGTAGAATAACATGAGTCAAACGAGAAAGAACTTATATAGTGGTAAATACAAATTTAAATGTGGCGACTGCCCAAAAACTTCTCCTTCTTTAAGTACCGTCTCCCAATCGGAGGTTGGATATCATCATCACTATCTTTACTTTATCTACTGCTGCTCTGAAGAGTCCTATAGAACTGCATTTAAACCAGTCCCTTAAATTCTTGAACCATGACACTCTTCCATGACAACCTTCCTATACTCCTTCCTCCTCCTATCTTTTCCTGTATTATTAGCCTTAGCAATTCATATCGCTGTCGCCTCATGACGTGTCCCAGATATTGTAACTTTCTTATTTCTATTGTGTTTATTATTTTGCATTGTTTGTCCATTTCTCGCAATATTTTCGTGTTAGTTTTCTTCTGTGTCCATGCTATTCTAAGCATCCTTCTGTAATACCCCATTTCAAAGGACTGTAACTTAGTTACGTGTTCTTGCCTCAAAGTCTAGCTTTCAAGTCCATATTGCAATATCGAAAACACCTAGCATCTTAGTGCTCTTACTCTCACTTCTAATCTAAGATCTTTGTTGCAGAGAATTGTTTTCATTTTTACAAACCCATTTCTTGCTATTTCTATCCTAGCTCTTATTTCAGTTGTTTCATCCTTATTGTCTGAAATCCAGGTTCCTGGGTATTTGTATTTATCAACCCTTTCAATCGGTACATTTCCCAAACGTATGTTTGTTAGTATATTTGTTTTATTTGTTATTATCATGTATTTGTTCTTTTTTATATTCATTTTTAGTCCATATTTTTCACATAAACTGTTTGTTTTGTTTAGCAGTAATTGGAATTGTTCAGCACAACTTGCCATAATCACAGTGTCGTCTGCATATCTTATGTTGTTAATAGATCTTCCGTTAATTATTATTCCTTCACTTTGAGATAATAATACTTCTTCAAAAATGGCTTCGCTATATACATAAAATAGTAATGGGGACATAATACATCCCTGCCTAACTCCTCTTCTGATTTCAATTTCTGGACTGGGTTCATTATCTATTACGATTTGTGGTCTTTGATTCCAGTAGAGGTTTGTTATTATTCGTAAGTTCCTATGGTCTATGTTTTTTGTCTTTAGAATTTGGACTAATTTTTCGTGTCGCACTTTGTTAATTACAGTGTAATTACAGAGTCTAATATTTGCGGTAGCACGGAGCAGAGCCCCGACCGGCGACCTCCTAGAGCGTACGTGCTCTAGGTAAGGCCGTGGTCTATCGACTGCCCCAAATCTCTCGGTCAATGGAAAAATAAAGAATGTTTAAAAGGCGGGGCGATGCGCATCAGGGTGCGTTTTAGTCCATGACTAAAGGCATCAGGATGACATGGTTCCTAGTCCGTTTCTGAACCCAAACTGTTTTTTGTTTATACGACCATGTATTATTTTTAGGAATAATTTGAGAATGTGACTTATTAGTGATATTGTTCTGTATTCACTGCAATATTTAAGTTTTGTATTTTTAGGGATAGCACAAAAGGTGGAGAGTAACCATTGTTTCAGTATGTGTCCTGTTTTGTTTACTGAGTCTACTATACTGAGTCTACTATACTGAGTCTACTAAGTCTACTATAATGTCTAAGGTTTCATCATTCATGCAGTTTAAGATTTCTATATAGATTTGGTCTGGACTTAATGCTTTACCATTTTTGCTGTTTTTTAATGGCATTTTAATTTCCTCTTATTAATATCTTTTAAAAAAAATTTTATATCTTTATTTAATTTATTATCTTTAAAAAAACCCAAAAACTTACATCGGTCAAACTGGGAGAACTTTTATAAATGTATATCAGACCACAAAAGTGCTTTCAATAATAGAAAACAGATTCTACGTATGCCCTACGAATTCCAGAGCATAATCATTTGCTATGACGAGTTTCAAATGCTTTATATTTAAAATAAAGGTTTTAAGCTATATTTATTAAAATCTATGGAAATTAACAAATTCAACAATAGAGTAAAGCATTTATATAAATAATTATTTATATAAATTATGTTTTAGCACATCCAAATATTAAAGTGTTCGTTATGCAAGGAGGATTACAATCTATAGAAGAAGCTATAACGTTGGAAGTACCTCTTGTAGGAATGCCTTTCGTTACTGACCAACCTTCTAATATCAAACGAATAGTAGATTTGGGACTGGGTGTTCAAGTTGACTACAAAACCTTGACGAAGGACATTCTTAAGAATGCTATTTTGGAGGTAGCTCAGAATCCAAAGTAAGTATTGGTCTTCCCAGTTTTGAAGAGTTTATGTCTTTATATTTATTTCAAACAAGTTGTTTAAAAAAAGCTGGTTTGACTAGGGGGAACAATTTGAGGATTACATATAGGGTGCGGCATTAGTGCTAGGAAGTGCAATTACTCATTTGCCGTAAGAGATACGATATAAATTTAGATAAAAGTTGGACTACCGATAGGACCCTACTCTAAAAATACTTTTAAATGTACAGGTCCACCCATACTGACGGGTTAGAACAAACTTTTCTTTTTTTTTTTAATGGAACACCCTGTATATTTTTACAGTTTTGGACATTTCTCGATGTTCTCGTTTTTTCAGTGTAAGATTTGGTAGTATTATACGAGGAAATATAAAAGATAATTTACGTTTTTGTAATAATTTCGTAGCACAATTAACAGCCTGTAGAATTATAGAGATTTTATATCAAAAAATATGTTAATGTTTAAAAGACTAAATATATTCTACTATTGTCCAAAATTACTAACAGAGCAAAATATTTAGTTTTGATATACAGCGTTAGTCGAAACTTGGAATGAGTATTTTCTGAGATTTCTTAAATAGAACATTCTGTATTTTAGTATTGTATTGAAATGTTATTTTATAATAATTTATTATTTATTAATATCAAAATGATTGGAATCCTTTTAACCCAAACGAAAGACTACCTACCATCGAAAACGTTGCCAAAGCCATTAAAAAGCTTAAAAATAATAAATCACCAGGAATTGATCAAATTTGCAGTGAGCTCTACAAGAATGGTGGCGATGCCCTACTACAGACACTGCATAAGCTTTTAATTCTTGTTTGGCATAATGAGACCATGCCTTGTGAATGGTCTCAAGGCGGGATATGCCCGTTACATAAAAAAGGTGACCAGCTCCAGTGTGACAACTATAGAGGTATGACCCTGTTAACAACTGCTTACAAAATACTAACAAATATTCTCTACAAAAGGCTGCAAGTTTACACAGTGGGCATGGTTGGTAGATATCAAGCTAGATTCACTACGGAAAAATCAACAATTGACGATATTCATTCAATAAGACAGATTCTCGAGAAAACAGAATTAAATATTGAAACCCATCACCTATTCGTCGACTTCAAGGCCGCATACGACAGTTTCAAGAGAACAATGCTATACCAATCAATGCATGAATTTGGTATACCAGAGAAACTTATCTGACTAACGAGAATGACAATGTCTAACTTAGAAGCCACTGTTAGAATACAGGGAGAGAATTCTAGATCCTTTGAGATAAAGGATGGACTCAGACAAGGGGATGCTCTGGCCTGCCTCTTATTTAATATTGCCTTAGAAAATGCAGTCCGAAATACACTAATTAGGAATGGCGGTACTATTTACAATGGATCGATACAAGTCTTAGCATATGCTGATGACATTTACATAATAGGGCGTAGCAAGCGAGATGTTGAGCAATATCTCCTAGAATTGGAAACAGCGGCGAAACAGGTCGGTCTAGTCATCAACCGAAGACAAAACCAAGTACATGTTGGTTACAAAGGATCCGATAACAAATGAAGAACGAGAAACAGTCTTTGGAAGTCATACCTTTGGATGTGTTGACAACTTCACATACCTTGGGTCGCTATTGACTGCTACCAATAAAACAAGCGAAAAAAATCAAAAGACGAATAAATCTTACAAATAGGGCATACTATGGACCCCAAAAGCATTTCCACTTAAGAAACATTCAAAGAAGAACTAAAATTATTATATACAAAACATTGCTGAGGCCGGTCTTCACATATGGAGCAGAAACATGGACTCTAACGCAGAAAGATGAAAGACTTTTGGGAATATTTGAGCGTAAAATACTCCGCAACATATTTGAAGCTATAAACGACCAAGGGCAGTGGCGCAGAAGATATAATTTTTAATTGTATTAGCTCTTTGATGAGCCAGATGTCATAACGTTCATTAAAACACAGCGACTTAGATGGGCTGGACACATAAATGCCAGAAAATACGATTGATAAAAAGCTAACCACAGGAAAAACTATAGGAAGAAAAAGTAAAGGCCGACTGCGACTTAGGTGGTTAGATGGAGTTGAAACCGACTTACGAATAATAAAAATCAGAAGATGGCAACATGTTGCCAGAAACCGAATAGAATGGCGACGAATCTTAGAGCAGGCCAAGATCCATAGATGATTGTCGAGCCAAAGATGATGATGATAATTATTTATTAAGCATTCCCTATACCCAACTTCTTTAATTTGTGGGTTATTTGTAATTTTTTGAACTAAACTTAATAGGGTTTTTCATCAGTTGTCATGTTTATTAAGTCTAATAAAATTGTCTAGTATCGGATATTATGCCCTAAAACATCAATAACCGTTTGCATATAATTCGGAAGGGAAAGCAACAAATTTTGAATAAAAACTTGAGGCAAACCTTCATATTCTTCACGAAGCATGTTTTGAAGTTCTGCAAGACTTTCTGGCTGGCATGGTAGACTTCTAACCATACGATGAACTTCATCCCAAAGATGTTTGATGACATTCAGATCAGGGCAGCAGATTGACTGTTCTAGAGTATTAAATCCTACTACCCCCAAATAATTTGTCACGATTACATACATGAAGACGAAATTATCCTTAATAAATAGATCAAATGAAACTACTGCTTTTGCCAAAACATCCTCTATATACCGGTGAGCATTCAGGGGGCCCTTGAATAAAATAAGTTTAATTCGAGCTTCAAATGAGATTCCAGTCTAAACCATGACACCACTACCGCCAAACGTTCTTCTCTGATACATACAAGCTTCGGCATATCTTTTATTTCTCCATCTTCAAACCCCCTCTCGGCCATCACAAGACTTAAAACAGAACCGCGATTTATCAGTGTGAAGATAATTCGGCTCCAATCCTGTATATCCTAGTGTTGATGTTATCGAGCAAAAATTAATCGATTCCTGCAGTGTGTGGGTTGTAATTCGGAAATAATAGCCGGTCTTCTTGCCATTTGTCCTCTTTCACTGAGGCATCTTGTAACCGTTCTCTCACTTACATTCACATTTCGAACCTCCTGCAAACGGTTTCTTGCAGCAATGGTCGTGGAATGGCGATTTCTTAAGAGTTCCATCACAATAAAACATCCATTCCTTTGCGAGGTAACTTTTCTACGACAGGAACCAGGTCGACGTGAGTATGTACCAGTCTCTACAAAGCGATGGAAAGATTTCCGTACTGTAAATCTCGGAATACCTATAGTTTAGGATATACAAACTTGACTTCTTCCGTCTTGTAGCAATGCAATAATTCGAGCAACATCTCTAGATAACAATATATCTTAATTATTCACTTAGTCGAAATCTACGTTTCAAAAACTAAATTACTGTTTAATTACATGTTTACAACTAAAAAGATAAACAGCGACTACAAACAATAACAACATAAACGTCAAAACTGTCAAAAATAAGCATACATGATCGCAATAAATATTTAGATTGAGATGCAAAATAAAACAGTGCTTAAAACTTCCAATGAGTTTTTAATAAAAACTTCAAAACTAATTTTTCGAAAAAAAAAAATACATAACAATCTAGACTGCTGCTTAGCTTGTTAGAATTGGATGAGATATTAAAATACGTAAGTAGTTAGGTTTGTAGTGTAAAATATTATTATTAACATAATATTCTACCTAGTTGGCCATGACTTTATCACTAAACTTGCTTAAAAGTTCAACATTAGACTATTTTTGTAGTTCCTGTTGCTTTGTTTCTATGTATTAATAACATTAATTTTTTTATCGAAGAACGTATTGATGTAGCACGTCTCTTTTTCGAGTTGGGTACTGGCCATTAGACCAAAAACTATGAAAGCTCAGTTCTATTTTATTTTTGCAAGAGGATAAAAGTACCTACACCGGAGATACACATGCCTGTTACTAGCACAATTGCATACCAGTACCTAAACCATAAACTGGCATGCTAGCTAATCACCCCTCAATCTCTCTCTAAATCTCCCTCAAAGGGGGGTGAATAGAAACAGTACTTTAATTTTATGTTTGTTTCTATTGAAAAGAATCGGGGGTGAATAGAAGCAGTTAAATATGGTATTTTTAATTTATAAATGGATAAATACAAATTTATTTCTCAACATAATGATTTATTTAAGTAGGTATATAAACAAAAGAAATTACATAACTCTAAGTAAACAAATCGTATTTAATAAGATTAAATAATGATTAATAAATTGTGAAATTAGACAGGTCATCTTCGAAAAATATCATGTCTTTAAATCGCGTACTTGAGGAAAATACTGGGGAGTATAGTTTTAGGATGACGTCGTTTCTGGAGACAAGCGATTCTTCTTCAGTTATGGTAAACTTATTAGTTTGTTGCACTCTTTTCAAAAATATTCCAACGAAACCGTCATCTTCAAGCAAAGCAACCTTGCATATATAACATCTAAAAGATTGTTTTTTTACCTTAAACTTTGACTAACATGTAGTCATCTTCATTGATGACGAGGTTTTCATCTAGAGCCTTGTCAGTACTTTCATCTAGATCAGAGGCATCTGAAGAGTCAGTATACTGCACTGAAAAGTCATCTTCATCTTATGATGATAACTCCAAACGCTTTCGGCTTTTATTTGGCTGAACCTGTTTGGGGGCACATGGGTTTTGGTCACTAGCAAGTGAAGTATGCGGATTTAAGTTCTGATTGTCGTCGACAAAGTCCTCAACACTGATACTTTTGTCGGGTTGCACATTAACTTTGGTTCTCTTTTTCCTTATCTAATGAGTCTGATCTTCTCTAAGACTATGAAGGAGCTCTTTGAAACTATTGTCAACAGCTTCGTGGTTCTTCTGAATGTTTTCGGGATTTTGGTTTTCATCTCTTCATCAATAATTTGTGGAAGCATAGACAGCACTTTGTTCCTATTTAGAGGCGCTATACCGCACTTCTTAAAACCGGCGATCACATTTTCTTTCTTCAATGAATCACA